GATAATTGTTAACCTTTAATGTCTCCTGCCACTAGTTAGCACTCTAAATAGCTTCCAGAACTTAAAGCAAGCAAATAAATCCAGTAACTTTTTTTTTTCAGTGAAATAATAATGAGCTTGTTATTCTGACTTTTCAGTCTCCCAAGAAAGTTATACATGCACCCCAAACTTACAAGTGTACTCTAAGATGTCATTTAAACCATCCTGAGTCTCCATCTCTTCAGTCTGCAATTTGTGATATTACTAAATATATGTTTTTGAGAAGTGATGGACTTTGAGGAATGATCAGAGATTTCCTATTTCTTAGCCAGAAGAGGAAGGGTGCTTGAGTAGCCATTTTATTTACTTTTCCTCTCATTCATACTAAGAAGACTGCAGATGAAACTAAAGTGTTTGTACTATTTCCATCAATCATGATGAGGCATGAAATACATGTATACAATTTCTCAGGTAACTGGGCTTCTTGCTATCAAGGACTTCAGAGATTAAGGCCAATATTTGTATGTTCATCTTAGAAAATCATTGGAAGCTAATAGAGACTCAGAAATTTCAAGGTTTTATCGGTAGCGGTTCATTCAGTGTAGCAGTCAGTCTGTTATATTCTGCACTACCTTAATTTTGCAAATGATTTTAAAGTGGTGCCCATGTGGAGTGCAGGCAGTCATACAGTTCCAAAGTAACAAAGGCATAAATGATCATTGTAAGGTCCCTACACTGAAGAAGAAGAAACTGAGACAGATGGAAAAAATTTCTACTACAGCTGCTGTTTGATCTTCCAAATGTTGATCTGGCTCTAATAAAACTAATTGTGAACCTGTATCTCACACTGAGCATTCACTCATGGTAGACAACCATCCCCAGGCTTATTTTCTGCTTTTTGTTTGTAGCAGTTGCCATTCAAAATGTACTTACCTAGTCTCAGTATTCATTTGAAAAAAGGTTATTTTTATGTCAATCATGGCACCAGATGTATTGGGAAAAAAAACAGTCCTGACAGCATACTGCAGTTCATGTTTTCTCACTGAGTCTCGTAACAGGACCTGTTATAACCTTTCAGCTTTTCATGAATAAAACCTCTGCAATGGGTCTGTCTTTGCTTACTGCTGTTTGCAGATTTCTCCACCATACAATAGATGTAACAGGGTCATTAGGTATTAATAGAGTGAAATCATCATGGACACTTCGGTTTTAATTATGGATTTGACACAAGCTTGTACTTCAGATATTGTCTGAAACCCAGCTGACTAGCATCTTAGAAATACAAGAAGTCTGTAGACTTCAAACTTTGACTTGTCACAGCTTTCTCTGTGTACTTTCTAAAAAATCTGGTGATTTAATATAGGTTTATGGTTGGAAGGGTGATTTAAACTGAGCCTTGGGTGCACGAACAGGAATCATGACAAATCTGTCAACCACAATGACACTCCGGTCCTTTCATGCTGTTTGTTTCCCCTTTTTTCTGTATGATCATAATCTACCAAACATAAATCAGGTAATTTGAGTAAGCCCAACTGTTTTTACTAATACTGTTAAATCCACACTTTCCTGACTGTTTTATTTAGATGATCTCATTTGGATTAGTTTTGTGCAGACCTGTCTGACCTTTTAAGACTGTCTTTTCACAGAATCATTGCAGCAGTAGTGTGAGACAAAAATAAGGACAAAGTTTCTCACCTGCTCTTCTTTAGAATCTCTTAAGGCTTTTGTCTTGAAAGTACAGCCTGCAGGTAATACATTCACTTCTCACCTTTACTACACTGAATATTAATTTCATAGTGAGATCTCTAAGGTAGTGCCTTGGCTGTCATGCAGAACATACAGAGAAATTGCTATGTATGCTAAATGGAAGAACTCAGCTATTTACAGCCGAGATACTGAATACGCTGAGGGATCTGGAGCAATGTTACTCAGAATTTTATAGAAAAACACACAAAGTATATCTCAGTAGATCTCAAAGATGATTGTTTAAGGTAAAGAGAGTAGGACTGAGGTGTTTTTTTTGTTTGCTTGTTTTTTGTGTTTTTGTGGATTTTTTTTGGAATGACAAAGCTTATTTGAAAAATTTGTATGTCAGTGCTTTGGCAAAATAACTATTATCAATCCTTAATTAAATGAAAACTTCCTACCAGATTGCCTCTAAGAAAAAAAAAAAAAAAGTGAAAAAAAAAAAAAGTATGTATTTCATTTGATAACAATTGCTAAATGCCATAATTTAAAACACAGGTTTAATTTCAGGTTTTCTGGGATAACTGATCAACTCACTCCCATTTCCACATCTAACAAAAATATCAACAAAACCAGGGGAGCTCCACTGCAGCTCAGCTGGCTCATTTTCCCCAAATGTCTTGGCCAGGCAAAGAAACAAAGGAAGCACTGTTACAGATACCTGTTATCTTGAGAACAGAACACTATAGCTAAAAGGAATGAAGCGAACTCTGACTCTTCCTTCCGTACAATATCCTTAAAGTACTAGTGAAATGAAGTTTGAAGAACAACATTTCAAAAAAATAAGAAAGATTGCTGAACATGAAAATGAAAGGCAGTTGCTACTTCAATTTAAAGCATGGGCCAGTCTTAGCAGAGCCTCAAATGGTTTGATGTTAACTTCAGTTTAGTCTGTGTGCTACATTACATTCAGGTATTGTAGCATTCCTCACATTTCTGAGTATATGTTAGTACATATTGCTTCTAGTTGAGATTTGAAAAGAAAAAAAAAAAAGTAATAGCACTGAAGAAGACATTTTCTGGCTGTGTTTATCACTCCTCACAACTGCATCTTTATACTGTACATTATTTAGTTTGTCCAGTTTGGTTATGTTTTCCTCCCTTTTCTGTCAAATTCATCAGTTTATATTTTTCAGCTATTTATTTTTCTATGGCATAGAAAAACTTTGACATTTATGGCAAAGCAAGAGAATTATTGAAGAAAGTAGCAACAATGTGGTGACTTTGAAAGTTTTTTCATGTTTATAAAAATGTCTGTGGTGACCCAAATACCAGAAATGCAGATTTGCATTTTGAAGTAAATGTATGTAGCTCACCTGCATGGCTGATGAGGTCACGTAAATTAAAGTAAGGATAAGTATTAATCTGAAGCTTGGTTTTGCTAGATTAGATAGCTTTCTATCCAGAGATGGTATCAGTATCCATTAATAGCTGTGCATACATGTTTTCTATATATCCTCAGCAATAAAGTTTCATTTTAAAGAAATTCTAACTTGCCTAGGCATGAAAATGCACACTGAAGGCACAAAAACATCAGCTTTAATTTTCTGCTTAACAAAACTGTGAAATAATCATTAAAATTGCACCATTTTTATATGTGTGAGCCCAAATTAAACTGATTTCAAAGGCATGGTTTTAATAATATATTTTCCCTTCTGTCACAGTATTTCTAAATGAAAAATAAAATATAAAAATAAAAGCATACAGATTAATATGACTAAGATAATTTTTTTCCTCATTCATCTGCAACCACATTTTTAAGGGTCTTTCTAGCCCTCTTTTGTAAGGGACACCTGAGACACCTGAGATGATTTGGGACACCTGACGAGGACACCTGAGATGAGCAGATACCACTTCAGGGATAGTGCAACAGCAGAACACTCTCCCTTTCCTTCAGGGCAGTAGAGTAGAATATATATGCAGCTGTTACATGAGAGAGAATTAGATAAAAAGATAAAACGCTATCAAATAAAACAGAACGTTGCCCAGCCTGTAGTTAGTAAGAGGTGTTTCTGACTTTCCCCAATAATGCTACACAGTCCAAAGAAATGGTTACAGCAGTGTAACACAGCAATTTTTATTATGTAATGGAATGTTGTATTTTAATACTAGTTTTAAATAAATGCATGGATGACAAATGTTACCAAGGATTAATTATAAATAGGATTGACTTGTTTACAGTGGTTACTTCTGGAAGGTGATCAAAGAATCACATAATGGTTGATGTTGGAAGGGACCTCTGTAGGTCATCTTGTCCAAACCCTTGGTTCAGGCAAGGTCATTTAAAGCAGGTTTCCCTGGACACAGGATGTTTTTTGAATATCTCCAAGGAGGGAGAATCCACTGCCTCTCTGGGCAACCTGTTCCAGTAGTCAGTCACCCTTACAGGGCAACAGTCCAACAATGTTTTCTGTTTTTAGTAGAAAGTAAAAATATGCATGTTTTTGAATATCGATTTGATCAGAAGATATCATTATTAAGACAAAGCAAAGCCATGCAGCAAGAGATTTGTAGTTCAGCTGAAAGGTGGATAGTGTATTTCATGACTAGAAAATCATTCTCTGCTTTGATTTCTAACTTACTGAATATTATGAAGCTAGGAAAACAGTCAAAAATAGGAGAAAACATGAGTGAAGCAAAATTGACTTGTAAATTCTAATCTGAATGCAAATGCTTTTATGCAGATCAGAGTATGATGATTGTATTGTATAGAAGGAGCTCCCTTTCAATTGAAATTCTTAATCCAGAGGAAAAATGCATGAGAATTTTTCTAAATCAGGAAATAAATGTTTGCAAGATCCATGCCTACAAAATCGTTCACTTTATAATATACATGTGTTCACAAATTTAGTTAAACTAGAATGAGATTTGGGCAATATGCTGATAAGTGGCAGACTGAAAACATCAGCTACTTTTCTTTTTGGAAAATTAACAAGTTACACAATCAGCCTAACTAGTAAAATACAGAGAAAACAGTACAAAATGTAATTTGCTCACTCAGAAAATGTATTTTAATTGTCTTAGTCACTCTTCATCCCTAACCAGGATGTCTTATACATTGTTTAGTAAAAATAATAAAATAATAATCCCTTCAATAGGCGTTTGAGAAAATGTAAATCTCAAGCAACATCTTTAGTTGCCTATACAATGCAGGAAACATGTTAATTGAAAGGAAACTGGGTTCTTGGAGGTGGGGTGGAGCATAAGGGAAGAACAACCAAACGCTAAGCCTGCATACATTTTCTCTCTCTTTTTCCATTTCCATTTCTTCCCAGAATGTTATACAGCAAATGGAGCTGACTATCGTGGCACTCAGAACCAGACCTCCCAATACGCAGGGAAACCTTGTCTTTTTTGGAATGAGACCTTTGAGCATCCATATAATACTTTGAAATATCCCAACGGGGAGGGAGGGCTTGGAGAGCATAACTACTGCAGGTAAGGAATATCTCATTGCTACTAATATTGCCTATATACCCAGTTTTACTTTAAACAGCTGACACAAAATTAGAAAACTTCCCATCAAATAGTGAAGAATGTAATAACCATTAATATCTAACAGATTTTGTTTTCTTTTGTAATTAGTACCCTGGATCTTTGGTTGAGCACACAAGCACTATTAGTAGAATAATATTTTTCAAGCCAGCTCTCACCCACAGTCCATATCATATAACCAATCTTTAATTTGGCACAATGGAGAAAGACTAAAGATAAGGTGGAGATAACTAAAAAACAACAAACAAACAAACAAACCCTGATCCAAGAAAGTAGTAAAAAGGCATTAATGAGTCTCTGGAACATTATAGTTTTTGTCCTCACACACAAATGTGTTTCTGTTATACAGTATGTCTCAAGAGTTTTGCATTAGAGAAAGTTATATAGTCACTAAAAATTATCAGCACAAACTGTTCAGTGACTTAGAGCTTGTATTAGACATTAAAAGTTCAACTGTCAGAGGTTACAATACCTTTTCAAACCATGGCACTCTCGTCTTCTTGCATTCTAGAGAAGTCCTCAATTACTATGGATAGAATTCAAAATGAAACCTATGTAAGAACTTCAGGATATAGGAGCCAAATCCAAGCAGGTCTTCTGCCCCCTTTGCTTGCATTTTGCTCATAGGAATACATAGATCTTGACCTTGGAGGAAGTGATGCTTGTATACTGACCAGCTCTCTTGGACCCCCTTTCTTTCTGGGGCCCTAACCTATGGGATTCCTCCAAGTAGATTCCTGAAGAGGCCAAAGCTGGCTCTCCTGAAGTCCAAGGTTGCAATTCTACTTCTTGCCCTGCTTCCTCTTCACAACATCCTGAACTCCACCATCTCATGGTCACTGCAGCCAAGACTGCCCCCAACCTCCACATCTCCAACCAGTCCTTCTCTGTTTGTAAGCACAAGATCCAGCAGCACACCTCTCCTTGTTGGCTGCTCGACTACCTGTATCAAAAAGTTATCATCAGTGCTCTGCAGTAACTCCTGAACTGTTTGTGCATAGCTGTACAGTCTTTCCAGCAGACATCAGGGTGGTTGAAACCCCCCATGAGAACCAGGTCCTGTGATTTTGAGGCTACTTCCAGCTGTCTGTAGAAGGCTTCATCTACTTCCTCTTCCTGATGAGCTGGTCTGTAGTGAACTCCTACAACAGTATCAGCCATGGTATTCTGCCCTTTAATTGTTACTCATAAGCTCTCAACCTGCTCTTCATCTATCCCTAGGCAGAGCTCAATGCATTCCAGTTGCTCTCTCACATAAACTGAAACTTCACCACCTTGTCTTCCTGGCCTGTCTTTCCTAAAAAACACATAGCCCTCCATGACAGAATTCTAGTTGTGAGCTATCCCACCATGTTTCTATAATTGTAATGAGATTGTAGCTTTGCAATTTCACACAGATCTCCAATTCATCCTGTTTATTCCCCAAGCTATGTGCATTGCTATACAAGTATTTCAGGGAGGTGATCAAGCCTACAGGTTTCCCAGAAGGGGTGCATGAGGATCCTTCATAGTCATGTCCTGCACTCACTTCCATGGCTGCATGCACCCACTGGAGACATCCTGACTTGAGCCACTTATTGCTGCCTATCCCATCCATGTAATTCTCCCCTTGCCACGTCTTTTCCTAATTTAAAGCCCTTCTTACCAGATTGGCCAACCTGTTAGCAAAGACACATGTGCCCCTCCTAGTGAGGTGGAGCCCATCTCTCACTATCAGTTCTTGATCTTCAAGAAGGGTTCCAGGGTTGTAGAAGCCAAATCCCTGTTGCCAACACCAGTGGTGCATCCAGTTAACTTGGAATATCTGTCTTGACCTCTTCCCATCCTTCACCCTCACTGGAAGTACTGAGGAAAAAATGACCTGGGCTCCCAGACCCTTGACCACCATGCCCTGCTTGATGTTTTCTAACTTACCTTTGGTGTTATTAGCACCTAAATGGAAAAGCAGCAGAGGGTAATAATCTGACTCATGGACAAGCTTTGGCAGCCTTTCCATGTTGTCTCTTATCCAAGCCCCTTTAAGGAACAAGCCTCTCCTGACAAGAGGTCAGGTTGGTAGATGGATGCCTCCATACTTATCAGCAGGGAATCACCCATGACAATCACCTGCCTCAATCTTCCTCAGAACTTCCTCAGACTTCCTCAGAACTTTATCAGATAAATGTTTTTGTCCTTATACACAGAAAGATGGCTTCTGAACTATTTTGTACCAAGGCAGAAATCAAGTTTAGGAGTCTAAGGAACCTGTACACAGGACATGGTGCTGAAAATCTTCCTCTCTGTCAGTAATGTCCAGAAATAGCTCTGCACCTTTCAGAGTTAAAGAAAAAAAAAAAAAAAAGTTGTATTTTACACATCACTAGCCTTTTATGCTTGCTGCATACTGTAATAACCAAAGTTATTGGAACATCCTGTCAGCTTTTTCATTTTTCTTGGCATGTAAGTTCAACAGGTTAAATATTCAGTAGGCATTAGAACAAAAAATAGTGGTGAAACTCAGGTTTAATATATTTAATACAATCTTTTAAAACATTTGATTTTTCACTCACTTTCTCAGTTTTTCTCTCCCAGGAACCCTGATGGAGATGTCAGCCCGTGGTGCTACATTGCGGAGCATGAGGATGGAATATACTGGAAATACTGTGAGATTCCATCCTGCCGAAGTAAGAGAACCACGTAATTATTTTAGGCCCACATCTCTGCACAACAGAGACTGGCAGTTATACAGCAGTGGGTAGTGATTTTCCAAGACCAATCAGCTTATTTTCATTTGCAAACTAAGCAGTATTTTTAACATCTCTAGAGTTAATGACAAGGTTACAGTATAGTTGTCCCTCCATTGCTATGTTCTTCATCTCCTCTCAGAATTACTGGCTTATATTATTTATATTAAAATACAAGACAGAGAATCACTCAAAACTTATGAAGTACTGCTAGTTTTCTGAACCCATAGAAATAGGCCATTCATTTAGTAAAGTATAGAGGAGAAAAATTAATAGGAAATGATTAATTATTTTTTCAAAAAGATACATATGTCTCCATCATTGGCAAGTCATTTGTAAAATGAATGGCATTAGTTTAATGTGTGTAACACACCACAAACAGAATTGTTGAAAAGAAATAAGGACAGTAAGAGTGACACAGGAAAAAGATGGGTATTTGTTAGCTATACTAGAATTCTGGTTCTTTCAGGTGCATATACTTAGAATTGCTGTTAATCCATAAACACAACTTTGTTCCTTTTTTCTTTTTTTTTTTTAAAACAGATAATTCATAAGCTATTCACCTGAACACTCCTTCCAGAATTTAATATTATTAATATATGGTATTACTTAACTTGTCCAAAATCTATTTATTTTTCCATGGTTCATGTCAATATATTCCCAAATTTTCATTCCTGAAGGCTCCAGGATAAATTCCTAAGAATCACATTTTTAACATATGCCTAAATATTAGCAACCGTAGCTTAATGTTTTACCGAGTCTAATCATTAATGCCTTTACTTGCTCTCTCTGCTCTACTTCTGAGATCATTTATGTGTATGCTGTTAAGTATCAGAGAAGTTGTCTTTATGTCGGGATACTTCTGAATCAAAGAAGTACATTTCTTACTTGAAGTTAAGGAAACAAAAGCAAACAAAGCAAAATAGATCTAAAGTGATTTTATTATTATTATTATTATTTTGTCCACAGTTGTTTTCTTTTTGTGAATGTGAGCAAATGATTCACATCTTCAAGTTAGGCAAACTTATATGTAAGTGTGACCCTATCAGTTGACTTTTACCTAGACTTAAATGCAGATTAAGTATCTAATTTAAGTAACACAAAATTGTTTGACACTCTGATGCTCATTGTTCAGAGGACATCTTACTATCATTTTCTAAGTTACAGAGTCTTATCTAAGAGGCATGATCCTCATAATTAATACATTTGTTTTGGTCTCAAATTAAAGAATTTGTATTTCTTTAAAGACCACAAATTTTGCAAAATCTCTGTATATGTCACCAGTAAAAAAGCTGAAAGGCAAATTCTCTCCACTTCATTTGTTCTACACAAAGAATCCTTTTAAAACAAGCCTTAATCATTTTCTCTGTGGTGGGGAACTGAGGATTTAAATTTGGACATTTACTTGCAAAGATAATCCAGACTTATATTTACAAAATGTCCTTTTGACCAGCAGCAGCTGCTTCAAGCAGTGCACTGAAACAGGATACTAGAGAAAGGAATTACAGCAACTTAGAGCAAACTGTACACTGCAAGTCCTTCCAAGTCTTAATACAAACCTTATGGTTAATGAAGTTGTGTGAGTCAAAAAAAAACTTTTATGCTTTACCATATTTTCTGTTTTCAGTAGGCATGATGATAAATCAGAGGACCATCAAAACTAACTTGTGGAGCACATAAAACAAAACTGGGTCTTATGGTAGAGCAAAAAAGCAATTGTGTAAAGAAAGCCCATTTGAAAATTCTAGAGAAGTAAAAAATTATCTCATATAAGCTTCTTTTACATTATTATGTTTACTACTAGAAAATACAAGTATCTGGAGTATAATGTACCTATAAGCTATATCTACATAATACCAGTACAATGCCAACAATATGAAGCTCCATTATTATTATCTCGAGACATTTGCATACAGTGATTCACTGTACCAATTAGGAATCTACAGTTAAGACATTTTCATAGACCGTGATTGTATCATATGTCTTGTTCACTAATATTTAACATGAAATGCTTAATTCAGAGATGTATTCTGCACACGTATAGAACTTAGCAATGTTAGCTGAGAATAGATGGTCATAAATGCAGAAGACAGTGGTTGCCCCAGTAGGAGCTTAGACTTCCTTTTTCTTCCTCTCCTTTTCTTGATGTCTTGTCTGATGGAGTGGATATAAACAAAATTAAAAAAAAGGCAGCCATGAGTCCTCAGAGAACACGTATATCTTATATGAACTATTCAATGCATAGCTATGTCTGAATGATTTAAATGGTTTATTCGCAATACTGCAGCTATTCCTGGCTTTTTTGGTCTCTTTTCCAATGAGGTTAGACTGAAATTCAAATAAGAGCATACACACACTAAAGGTAAAAGTAAGTAAGGCTCACTGTCTTGCTAAATTGCACCTCAGTGTTTATGGCCCACATGTGTCTCTTACCACAAACAGATTTCATTACTGTAAGCTTATTTCCTGTGTGCACGTATGTCATATAATAAATTTGATAAACTGTTAAATGGCAGAGCCAGGTTAGTTGTACAGAGCTGTACTGATTGCTTGGTAAGACTGACATATATACATTTTAACACAAGAACAAAGGATTATCTCATATAAGATCTACATATTGAGAAGGTATTCTGGCATATACTACCATTTCACTAAGAGGATCTTCAGGCAACTGGATAAACATCTGAAACATGGCTTTGAGCTCAAAAGCACTAATTTTATATGTTTTAATACATGTCTTAACATGTAGTATCCAGAAGCTCTCCTGTTTGTCAGGATCTCATTGTGTCAGGTACTGCATAAAAGAATAATAGCATACTTGCACAAAAGAAGTGACCTTTTAAGCACAAGAGAACTAGATACAAACAGAACAACCTTGACAAACAAAACTTGACAACCTCCTTGCAACTTCCAAACATAGACTGCACGGCCTCTCTGGGCTCCTGTTCCAGTGGTGACTGTCCTCATGGTGAAAAGATTTTCTTTATATCCAGTCTGAACATTTCAGACTGCAGAATGAACAAGTCCCACTCCCTCAGCCTCCTGTCACAGGGTGAGTGCTCCAGGTCTCTGATCATCTTGGCTCTCTGCTGAACTTGTTCCAGTCAGCCAGAATGTTTTTTGTACTGGTGGGCCCCAAACTGGACACAGTAGTCTAGATGTGGTCCTAAGAAGTGCTGAGTAGAAGAAAAATCACTTTTCTTGATCTCTGTCTGTGCTCATCCTAATACAGACCAGGATGCTGCAGACCTTCTTTGCTGCCCAGTACACTCTTGGTCATATTCAGCTCCCTGTCTATCAGAACCTCCAGGGCCTTTTCTGCAAAGTTGCTCCACATAAAATGTACACTGCCTTCTTTTGGATTTATGGTGTAATGCCTCCCTGAACATACATGCTGACTGAGTTTAATATGGTATGAATGGAAAACATATTATTCTAATATACTAAAACATTGTTGAAAAAGCAGTAATTTGTGGTCACTGTTGGTCTGATATAAAGTTTTTGCCAGTTTTTGCCAGTTAGCTTTTTTCCCCTGCTCAGAATATAAATAATCTTCCCTCTGCTGTTAATGCTTATACCATCTATGCTGATTACCTTTCAGTAGCAACTCCAAAGTGTCTCAGGTTTAGGACCAGCCCATCAGTAGCCATAGGAAGAAGCAGCACATCAAAATCATATATACATGTATGGTAGAAAATATGTTGTGTGTTTTCCCAGGTCAGAAGATCATTTAAACATATATTTGATGTGGGGCTACTCAAGTACTTCTAGCTCCCAGTGGAGCATATATCCACAGGGTTATGTAGTTTGTTGATTAGTTATCAAAGTAATTTGAAGTACTATGCATTCGCTTGGAACCTGCTCTTCAGTACTGGGCTAGATTAATGCTTCCCCATGAATGACTATTTATTTCAAATCCCATGACACTAATTTTGTTAGCTAAACATGAAAAAGTTGAAATACCACTGGAACACTAAAGAGGCTAATTAGCTTTAAGATGTTACCCAACTGGTATGCAATGTATGAAGTTTTTAAATGGCTGAGTCTGTTTTCTTAGCATGGAGATCATGGGAGGATTAGTCCTCTGGCGACATGGCTGAAGATTCTCACCAATAAAGCTCCTTTTACAAAAAAAAAAAAAAAAAAAAAAAAAAAAAATTACTATATGGTTTTGAAAATCCAAGGTCTCCTAGGAAAATGTGCTAGACTGGTGACTAGGAAGCATTTTCTGGGCAGTGAAGTCATGTTCTGTATGGAAGAGTGAGCTCTTTGGGAGTTACCTGTCTGTTTGTACTCAGCTGGGGTGGGGCTGCAAGTGAAAATTTCCAAAGGTATGTTAAATCAGGCTATAACTTGAATTAACAGTACTTAAAAGCATATTGCTGCAAGACATAGCCAAGCCATAAATATATACAAGCATTTAATGTTGAAATTGCATCATTCTTAGAAAAAAAATTACTTTGTCAACAACATTTGAAGCAACATTATCTTATTATTAAAAAATATATATATATATATTTTTTCTTCTCAACTGCATTATTTCTTTCATTCTTCTTTATAATACTATAATCAATCTCTTTTGTAAGAGGATGTTTGTAGAATGTTTGGTCTTGGTGCAGCCTCAGCTTGAATATTGTGTACAGTTCAGGTCTCCACAGTAGAAACAAGATGTTAAGGTCCTTGAAAGCATCCAGAGGAGGGCATCAAAGCTGGTAAAAGGGCTGGAGGGCATGCTCTATGAGGAGAGGCCGAAGATGCCTGGTTGTCTAGTCTGGAGAAAAGAAGGCTGAGAGATCACCTCGTTATGCTACAAATTCCTGAGCAGGGGAATGGAGAGGGAGGTGTCAGTCTTTGCTTCCTGGTGACCAATGACAGGACATGAGGGAATAGCACAGAGCTGTGCCACAGGAGGCTGAGACTGGACATTAGGAAAAAATTATTTACCGTGAGGGTGCTGGTCCAACACTGGAACAGGCTTCCTGGTGAGGTGGTTGATGCCCCATGCCTGTCAGTGTTCAAGAAGCATTTAGACAATGCCCTCAATAATGTTTTCATTTTTGGTTAGCCTTGAAGTGGTCAGGAAGTTGGAATAGATGTGGTCCCTTCCAAATGAACTGTCTATTAATTTCCATTTCCATTTCCATTTCCATTTCTATTTCTATTCATATATTTCTATTCATATATTTCTATTTATATATTTCTATTATTTCTAATTTCTATTAATTCCAAGTATTTTAGCAGACATGACAATTAGACAGGAAATAAATAATGTTATACCATTAACACAGCAGTATATTGTACCACACATACTGTCTCGAGGAGTAATGGATAAATTTCAGTGTTTTGATGAAAAGTGCAACGATAAAAGAAAAATAGAAGACAAATCATGCACTGAATGGAAAAATCTCTCTTTATGACTGCCTAGTGTGATCAAGGAGACTCAAAACATTGTATCAAAATAGTATAAATAGATGTGTTATTTTGCTGTTGTTGTTTGTTTTATGTTCTTAAGCAGCTATGCTCATTTTAAATCTCTACATACACACTATAAAATACTGAGAATTCATATCAGATTTTTAGTTTTTAATATTAGGAATATCTCATGTAAATATATAGTCCCTCCCATAAAACTTAACCAAACTCCATCCTAATACAATTTAGTTTTCCTTTCTCCAATGCTGTGTTTAGAAATTTTCTACAATGTAACTATTTTGAAGATTTGATGGAAAACATTGTTTAATTTACATTGTTAGAATGTATATGATCCTAGTTGAAAGAAAAAAAGGCAAAAAACCCAAACACAAAACCTCTGAACCCACTTAGTACCCCCTCACCCCCCACTGTTTCTATTACGAGAAATGAACCAGATGATTATCTTGTTTGTACTTCTACAGCTTACAGAAATCCATTGCAGAGTATTTTATTATAGGTTTATTGCGAAGTAGATGTGAGGCCATTTTATCACCTGTCATTTATCCCTGGGCGTATTTGTAAAACAAGGCAAGGATCTAGCTTAGAGTAACAGGAATTGCTTAGTAACAAGGTGGTAGACAAAGTGTCTTGGGTTTATTTAGGAAAACCTTTAGAATGACTATTGTCTGTTATTTTTGCCAGTGCCAGGGAATCTAGGGTGTTACAAAGACCATGGAGAGCCACCACCTTTGACTGGCACCAGTGAGACCTCCAATAAACTTACTATCCAAACATGCATCAGTTCCTGCCGAAGTCAACAATTTAAGGTGATTTATTTGATGTACATTTACAAAATGTTTTCAAAGACAAAACATTTATGCCTTGAGCCCTCTGTTGCCTTTTTCTTTTTCTCTCCCTTCCTTCCTTCCTTCCTTCCTTCCTTCCTTCCTTCCTTCCTTCCTTCCTTCCTTCCTTCCTTCCTTCCTTCCTTCCTTCCTTCCTTCCTTCCTTCCTTCCTTCCTTCCTTCCTTCCTTCCTTCCTTCCTTCCTTCCTTCCTTCCTTCCTTCCTTCCTTCCTTCCTTCCTTCCCTTCTTTCTCTTCTTTTTTAAATGTTCAAACAGTCTGATGTTTCACTCCCACTCCAGGAGACCTAGCTCTCTCTCTCCATCCAGAACAATTTGGGCAAGCAACCAATTAGTAATAACTTGGATACCAGAAGAAAGTATGTTTGCTTATGCAGTTGTGATTGACAGGGTGCCCTAGTTGTGCTCTATTCCAGTTTTCTTTCTAGTTTTAAGTAGGATCCTAACATATCAAACAAAAACAGTTTGTGATGGGACCTCTGACTGCTGACTTAACATACTTCTCCAAAGCATACATAATCTGCTGCCAGCTTTCTTGCTCATACAACCTCCTGGTGTTGTGCCTTTAAATATCCCTCCCTTTCTTATGCATCTTTGTTGTCAAAGTTTGCAGGCATGGAATCAGGTTATGCCTGTTTCTGTGGAAATAATCCTGACTACTGGAGATACGGGGAGGCAGCCAGTACGGAATGCAACAGTGTTTGCTTTGGAGACCATACTCAGCCTTGTGGTGGGGATGGCAGAGTCATTCTTTTTGACAGTAAGTATTGAAACAGGCTGGGTTTTTCCCAAAGGAGAGGCTTCAAATGCTGAATAAATTAGGGGAAAGGGCTTAAAGGCAATGTTGCACAGAAAACAGCAAAGCACCTAATTCAGTGTAAAATAAAGCCACTTTCCACTTACATATAAAATTCACTTCCATTAATAATGTGAAATAGATCTTCCGAGAAATGATGCTTGCTCAGGCAACTGACTCATGGTCCAGTGTCTCTTACACTGGAGACTTAACACTGGTTTTCCTTTCCAGACAAGGCTTGCTGTAACTCAGTTACATAATACAAAGCAGCATAATACAATTGAAGTTGAGAGGTGTGTAAAGCAAACGTACAAACAAGTTAGGTTGCTGTTATGATCATCACTGATTATATCATTTCTTATATTATTAAGTCCTCCTTTCTACTACACTTTTCAATAACATACCAGCACCAGCTGTATAATGTAACTGGTTGACAGTATGAGTACTTGGTTGTCTGGCGGCTGTACAGGCTTCCGGTTTAGTTGGGGGTACTGGAACAATCCATGGTATGTAATGATATATCACTGCTTCTCAGATCTCAACTGTCTTCAGTGTTAGCTACCTCTAGCTACCTTTAAAGTCAAGTTATAAGTTTTCTGTAACTAAAAGCAGCATGATTTTCCAGCCTCTGAATACACAACTTAGCACCTCTTCACTCTAAAACTCTGGTTTCCATAAAGCAGGACAGAAAGATGTTTCACTTAGAGCAGGAATTAGTCATTCTACTCCCTCACTTCCAACTTCTCCCTAAGATATGAAAAGAAGTATTGGAGTTGTATATTGCTTTCAATATTGTAGTTGCACATAGGTTCATACTGCTATATCCTTTGTTTCCTTCTGCTCTTGGCCTCCCAAATTTGTCATGGTTAGAAGTATCCTTCATAGTTTTTCTTCTCTGGAATGGCCAAAGGCTCAACAAGATGTTACCCTGCACTGTCTTTTCTGGTACGAACCAGAAATGAATGAACTGGTATGAACCAGTTATATTTTTTCTGGTATGAACCAGAATGAACTGAGAGAGGGAAAGCATTTTCATTCCATATGGGGAATGCTGTGCTTTGTGGAGCATTAGTCATTAGCATGCTCAACATATTGCTGGTTTGTAGAATGCCTTCTGATTTGGTAGTTACAAACAGCACAGCCAAATATAACAATGCCTATAAGCTATTTGTGAATGATATCTCATTGTCAGATTTCAGTTCTATCAATTCAATCTATTCAAGCAATTCTATCTACTCAATTAAATCACCAGCTCTGTTAGCTTGGAGTAAGTGCCAAACACAAATTCTCTATGGGGATTTGTATCTTCTGGGATCTTTCACATTCTTTCAATTCTTCTTTCATATTCTTTCAGTTTCTCTATGGGGTCTTTCATAGTGCAGCACTGAAGTATGAGGTTTATTGTTCTGATCAGGCCTTGCTCCAGAAAAAAGTGAAGTGTCTTCACTTTATTTTCTGGCATACAAGTTCTACTTTTGCTCATTCCCCCAACTCCCTTTTAATTTGTATTTATCAAAGCTCTTTCTCTTCATAAAGCCTATGAAAACTGAGACACATCAAAACACTTCAGTTCCTGTATTTCCTTTCTCACAGGCCACTTATTACAGGGCTTTAATTACGCTTTCAGAGGGAATTCTATTTTGATCCTTCAGAACTTCAGGCTATGATATGGCTTGATCCAAACAATTTGGTCATGAAATAAATTATTATGTAATACAAAATATATATATCCCTTAAATACACAATATATAAACATCTGTACTGACATACTACATATATATAAATATACTTTCATGCATATATGCATCAAGTCAGTTGGCATTAGAGTTTCTCTAGATTCATTGATGAATAAGCTTGCACTGGGAATCTGGACGGTTGTTAAGGATTATAAAAAGTCACTGGGCACATACTCTTCAAGATAATATTGTAGCAACAAATCTAAAAGATTTTTCCTTAGACTTCATAACAGGCACTTGCTTCTGTTACTTAGTGAAGGTATGGTCAAACTTTAGTTAGACAAGATCAGGAGAGAAAATGCTTAAAAATACATATAAAAGGTCAAAGAGATGATTAAGGAATTAGAGCATCATTCATATGAGGGGATCATTTGGCTTTGAGAAAAGGCAGCTTTGGGGCTTGGGGTGGGAGTTAATGTGTATAAATACCTGATGGGAAGGTGTAAAGATGAAGCCACACTCTTCTAAGTGGTATCTAATGAATAGACAAGGCAATGGACACAAACTGAAATATAGGAAATTTCATATCAACAAAAAGAAAGTCTTCTTTACGATGAGGGTAACAGTGGAAAAAGTTGCCCAGAGAGGCTGTCAATCTCCAGCCTTGGAGACTCAAAACACAACTGGACAAAGTGCTCTCCTTTGACACTCTTTTGAACTGGGGAATTGAACTCGTCTCCAGAGGCCCTGTCCAACCTCAGCTATCCTGTGAAGATTTTTTTTTTCATTAAAGCTGGAAAATGGTTTAAATGAGCCAACAGTTAGAATTACTAATCTACCTATCTTATAGAAATGGGGAAGTCCCTGAATCAGTGATTTAGCTTTGATCCCAGTCCCTTAGGGGTGTGGGAAAAGGACCATACAAGGACAAAGGATAGTTGCAATATTCCAGATTGATACTTAGGTCTCAGAGTAAGGAACCAAAATGAATGTATCCCAAGCAATAATGTGAGTCTGAAAGCCATCTTTTTTGGGGTAGCAAGTATGTTCCATAAAGTCACATGAGTGTTAGAATCTTATAAGAGTACTAAAGTTGTGCATAAGTAATGTATAACCTGCACTAGTTTCTCTTTTTCAATTTTTCTTCCTCTCCTCTTTGCTCTTCACAGCCCTTATTGGTGCCTGTGGAGGGAATTACACTTCTGCTACAGCTGTGATCTATTCCCCAGATTTTCCTGACACATATGGCACAGGCAGAGGATGTTACTGGACCATACAAGTCCCAGGAGCATCTCAAATCCACTTCAGCTTTGTTCTTTTTGAAATCAAAGATGCTACAGATATGGTGGAATTACTGGACGGCTATACCTATCATGTTCTAGCTCGTTTTAATGGCAAGAACCGTCCTCCCCACACATTCAACATCTCTTTGGATTTTGTTATTTTGTATTTTTTCTCAGATGAAATCAATCAAGCCCAAGGATTTGCTATCAGGTATAAAGGTAAGAAGCTACCTTTGCTCTTTCTGCATTTCAATATGTTATTAAAGCATGTAATTTGCACAGGAGATTTCTGAAGTGGCAAAAAAAAAAATTAAACCTCACGTCCACAAGTTTTTAATGCATCTCATTGCCACTGTTCAGTAAGTAAAAGCTTCTGCTAACATTTCTCTCAATTTGGAATACTTCAGTCATCTATGTCATAAATATCAGAATTTACATTTTCAAAACGTCAATCCTACACATCCCTGCCTGTCAAAACAGGTTGGAAAATGGAAAAGAAGCTGGGGAAAAAATGGTAGTCCATCTGCACCATTGGTTCATCTCAGCTATTTCCAATAATTACTCAGCTATAAAGTCCTCAGGAGATCAGGAAAAAACATTTCAGTCCTTGAGTTGTACCTGCTCTTATGATGAACAATTCACTTCCAGAAAAATTCTGAGAACCCCAGCTTGGTGAAGCACACAATTTTTTTGGCATCAGACATAATATGATTATTGGAGTTCTCTAAGTAAACCAGAGGGAAGCATATGCCTGTTTACAAGCACAAAGTAATGCCCAATTACATCTGTTAAGAAGTTGTTTGTATAATCACACTGTTTTGTTTTCAGCTGTGAAGGACAGTGTGCATCAAAACAAGATTACAGTGAATCAGACACTTTCAGAGAAGATACATGAACATGCAAATCTCAGTATCAATGCAGCTCGGTCATCAAAGATACTTTATGTCATCACAACCAGTCCAAGTCATCCTAGTAGCTCCATGCCTGGTAATATTACAAGGAAATGTGAAAACAGGAAAACTTTGTTTAGGCACAATCTAGAATCATTATCACCTTTGCCTCCTACCCCATTTTATCTGATCCACTGTGCCTCTTACTGATAGATGCCTGAAGAATTATTTTCATGTAATCTAATTATCACTAATTGCACTGATCTCATTGCTTTTCAAAACTGACTTCTCAGTATAAATCATTTAGAAATAATGTGAAAATGAGTCTTTGAGAATGAAAGCATATCAGAAAGATATTTATTTACTTTGATTTGTTACTTACTTTGTATAAGTAGTAAAACCAAATGGCAAGTGAAAGCAGCCTCCTTACTAGAACTGGTTTCAGTGACCAGGGCATACCGTAGAAGTCGCAAAAGGTGCTGAAAGAAAGTACAAGCACTTACAGAGTCTGGAATTAGCCTGAATGCTACATGCAGCCCAGTTATCCCAATTCACACAAGCCAGAGCAAAACTACAGAGAGGGCTAGGCAAAAGTGAAGCAGGTTCATCTTTCAAGAGATGTCGCTGAAAACTGTCAAGTATCTTGAGCTCATTTTCCAAGACATCCCTTCATTCAGGAGATTGTTAAATTGCAAATAACTGAAGACCGGAATATCATTATTGGTCTCATTTATCTTTAAAATACCTTGGGCACCTGCTTTTACATATTGATGGAGTTAGACTTTGGTCTCTCTATGCACACTCTAATAGTTCTGTAGTCCTGAAGCTATGTCTTCATTCCTGAAGTCTAAAAATGTGACTGCATGTTAGCTGCATATACCCAAATTAGACAAATTGTATACTGATGTAAGTGTAACTCCTGGCATTCCTGCATGCAGCATGGGTTGGAGACTATGGGAGTCAGAATGAAAAGTGAACTAATAATTTAAAATCTGTTCCCCTCCAATCTCAGTCTTTTAAGTAGTTCAGATGTTACGCTGTGTCAAGCTATTCAGGTCCTGCTTGACCTGATGGTACCAAAAAAAAATAAACTGGAATGCAAAATACAATGCCCAAGAGCCTTCAGCATAAGGTAATAAAATAGGAGAGCACAAATACTGATCAACTGTCTCAGTAGACTCTAGAAAGGAAAAAATAAAGTGATTACTTTCATAATTACTGATATAAAACTAGGCCACCTGCTTACAAACATTACAGTTACTACTGGCAGCATATATGCTAGTATATTCCTTAGTCTGCTTTTTAATATTTCCCCTGAGTGAGTTTTGTTTACTTTCATAGATATATTAGAAAATTTTACTGGCATATGCTTTGGATTTTTGCAGTATTGATTTTTTACAGGGAGTAGTCCTCCATGGGAAAAAACATTCCAGATTGAGTTACAGTTTCTGCCAGTTGTTACCTAAAGGCTTAATGTGTCTTCAAATTACAGCTTTGAGTAAAGCATACAAAGGCTATGTGTTTCTTTTCTGCTGTATATCTACTTTAAAAATTCTAAGTAAATGAATGCACTGAGTTCCTCTCCTCTCCTCTCCTCTCCTCTCCTCTCCTCTCCTCTCCTCTCCTCTCCTCTCCTCTCCTCTCCTCTCCTCTCCTCTCCTCTCCTCTCCTCTCCTCTCCTCTCCTCTCCTCTCCTCTCCTCTCCTCTCTCCTCCTCTCCTCTCCTCTCCTCTCCTCTCCTCTCCTCTCCTCTCCTCTCCTCTCCTCTCCTCTCCTCTCCTCTCCTCTCCTCTCCTCTCCTCTCCTCTCCTCTCCTCTCCTCTCCTCTCCTCTCCTCTCCTCTCCTCTCCTCTCCTCTCCTCTCCTCTCCTCTCCTCTCCTCTCATCCTCTCCCTTCCTCTCCTCCTCTCTCCTCCTCTCTCCTCCTCCTCTCCTCTCCTCTCCTCTCCTCTCCTCTCCTCTCTCCTCCTCCTCCTCTCTCTCTCCCTCTCCTCTCCTCTCCTCTCCTCTCCTCTCCTCTCCTCTCCTCTCCTCTCCTCTCCTCTCCTCTCCTCTCCTCTCCTCTCCTCTCCTCTCCTCTCTCTCCTCTCCTCCCCCCTCCTCTCCTCCCCCCTCCTCTTCATTCTGTCTTCTTCTCCTCCTCTTTCCTCTCTCCTTTCTCCTGCTTTTTGTTTTCATTTTTCTTCTTCAGAGTGGACAATATATAGTCTCACCGCGCTGCTCATCCTAAGTGTTACAGCCATATTGGCAAAGATATTTCTCCACATTACCATGAAGTAAGTATGAAGCTCTGTACCAATTCTGGTATACTTAATTTCTCTGCATTATGATACTGTGAAACTAGTCATATTTAAAATCAAGTTATATGTTACATATTTTTGTCCTCAATAGGATACTAATTAAGTACATCTTTTTAAAAAAACTTCCCTGTTTCCTAGGGTAGCATCTATTTAACTCATTGACTGAAATGATGGGTGAGTTTTGAACAAATCATAAATGTTGTGTTGTATTTACACACTACAATCTAACTTAAATATACAAGGACATGAATTAATAGTAATTAGTAACAGAATATGTACAGACATTAATTTAATTGCTTTCATTAGGGTAGCAACTATTATAGCAACAGTATGCCTTGTTTGTCATTTGGTCAAAAAAGCAAACAACAAATCCTTCAAAAACCTATGTAACTGTGTACCAGGTAGAAAAAAACATATGGTCACAGATATAGAGGAACTCGTTAGCATTATCAGCGCAGCAGTAATGCAAACATACTAATAATAGTAGCTTCCTGTGCACCTTAATACTTATTGTGAACTAACTCATGTTTCTTAGATCCCATCAAATACCATCTGCAAATGAAATGGAAGATTCCAATGAGGTTACTGCTGCTGGTGAGATCTGGAGTATATTTTACCAGCCATCCACATCAATATCCATCTTCAAGAAGAAGCTTCGAACTCAACAAGATGATTGCAATCCACTAGTGGGAAACTGAATTGTCTTTTATTTTACAGGAACCAATCTTCTTAAAATCCAGGTGATTTAGGAATAATCCTTTTTTTTTCAAAAAATCCAAACTCATACTTGTCTTCCAAAAAGTCCATTTCCAAAGGCCTTTGAAAGACTTTGCTTGATCTGCTGTTTTCTTTTGTATATTAGTGATGACAGATTTAATTGATGCAATAATTTCGAAATATTTGGTGCTCATCAAACCTGTAGTACTGTAAGCTGCTGCCTTTAAACCAGTGCACTTAAAATACAAGTGAAAACCTGTAAAGTTCAAAATATCTCACAACCCTGCCAAAAGTAATTGAATGATTATCTGCAGCTTGAGGACTTTTTGTCTTCCTGTGTCACTATATTAATCAGGCCATTTTAGTCTCTTTATTCTCAAGGCTGAAGACAGAGGTGGATATTGATACCCTGTTCAGTTGCCACAGAAGCCAGAGCTTATTTGGCTTTAATGTAAACATCTCTAAATGGCACTATACAGTAAATTGGGAGTAAAAGACTGAGGAATTATCAGCCTGGTTGCCAATGCTCTATTTCTAGATTTTTCTGTTCCTACAAGCAGAGATATACAAACAAAAATCAAATCAAATTCAGGAGGCACACTCTCAATGGAGCGTCAGCTGCAAATGTGTCATTGGACTAATTCTCACTGGGTCAAGGTGTGCATGACACTTATAAACAAGTATGTATGTGTGAGCAGTCAGATTCACCAATGATTATGACAATTTTGCACATAAAGTGTTCCTTTCAAAGACTATCATATGCCATTCTGAAGTCCTGCATTAACTTTGGATGTGAGCTTAGGACTTCTGAAAGGATTGTTCAAGGAAATTATAAATCAACTAAATTTTTAGATAGTGAGGCTAACACCAATTCTCACTCCAAGGTTACAGGTATTAATACCAGCAGCCGTAAATATTTACAGAGTTGTATTCTGCTGTCAACACCTATGCCAGGCTGTGCATTGGAAAACATGCACAACAGTTGCCTTGATAACTAACTGCTAAGAAAGTGTTTCCCTGCCTGCAAAATTAAAATGGCATTGCATTTTTAAGACTAATTATAGAAGAACTAAAATATCAGTGGGGATCCAATCTGTGAAATAATTTCTATTTGGTTGTAACAGACAGCATTAACTATTTTTTCTCTTTTGTAGAATATCTGTCTACCTAAATTGCTCAGACTTCTCATCCCACCACTGGGGATCAACAGTGAGACTTTCAGCTTCAAGTCCAGCTCAGCAAGATACTTAGGAAAAACAGACAATACAGCTCAGATAGGTAGACTAGAAAAGTTTACATTAGTGAGCATTTCCTTAAACTATGTTAGTGACATTAAAGTACAGTACATGTAATTCCAGTTAGAACTGGAATTTATTCCTTAGAAAAGGAATAAATATAAGTTTAAGCATACCAATACTCTATACACCAGACCTGTGATCTGAGAACAACTGCTCAATGCATCTGCAAAAGATAATGAAGAAAAGTAAGAAAATTGACACAGTTTGCATTCATTATAGTATTTGTCATTCTGTTTTTAAACTCTAAAGCCCTTCTCTTCATGGAGACTATAGTTTTCCTTCAAAAATTTGGGCATCTTTTAGATGGAACAGTGAAATATTGTGCCTTACTTGCCATTCTACATCTAGTCTTTTACCTGAACTAAATTAATTCCAACTCCATTTATGTACCATAGATGACTTCCACAATTGCACAATAAATGCTTAATAGAAAAAGGACTTTACTAAGCCAGCAGTTATGGAATTGTTTATATCAGAATCAGAATATTATGGAAACATCTAGCACATTTTGCATGAACTGCTGGAAAGGTTACAGGAAAAAATAATTAAGTATGGCCAAAAATCAAGATTGGAAGTGTTGTAAAATATGCCAGTTCTCTCTTATGTGTCATCAGGTTGGACTAAACAATATTGTCTGATTCAGACCCAATGAAAAATTTAAAATTGCCTTTTTAACAGTCTGTGTTTGCATCATGCTGTGCAGTGAAAGAGTCTTTCAAAGATTTGTAGTGAAGCAAATTAATTTACCTCCTCTAGATGGTTATTCTGACTCATTAATGGACAGCTACGAAGGAGTCACGGAATAAACTAGATCCTTAAGAGTTAAGTTACGAGCACATTTTGAGGAAGCTTTTTTTTCTTGTTTTATCAAATGTTCTTGAGCAGTTAAACATATACAGTCAAAGGAAAATTCATACAGCAGTTAACTAATGCTGATAACCTGAAAAAACATAAGGAGACTCCCATGACTGTTTTCTACCCACTGTAAAAGGAAAAAAAGGCAGAACATTTTTACATCTCTTTTTCAGAAAGGATTTTAATTTCACTATTAAATTGGAGAAATCCCTTTACAAACAACAAGAAAAAGATGATGATACTAGTGCAAAATTTAGAGAATCTAGAAACCGAGATCACTTCCTCAGCTACCTTTTAAATAACTAAATATTTCACATGCCTTTCTTAGGGAATGTTTATCTTATTTCCATACATAAGAGCCAGAGAAATAGCACTTACAGCAGATCAACGGGCCATGTCAACAATGACTAAGCTTATGGTATTGCACAGTACATTGGAAAATGCACTGACAAAAGTGTCAAGAAAATTATATTCCCCAAAGTCTTTCAGATTGCCCAGTTCTGGATACCTCTACTACTAGGAAACAGTAACAGATAGAAATGCACCAAGAGGATCCTTGTAGCACTTCTTACTATCTGTGCCTGAAACCATAAAGAACAGGCAGATCTCTGAAGGGTATTTTTGTTTCAAAACTTGATATAGTCACTTGTAATCCTAGCACAAACACTTCAGCAGTATGGTGGTATATGGCCAACATATACCATATACATTAATACAGCACTTTATGATGTTTGCTATAAGGCTTTGGTAGAGGAAGAAAAGACTGACACGCAACTGTTGTAATCCCACATGCTTCAGCACACAGCGATACATGCCCCTATGACATTAGCAGATGAGCACTGACAGCTGGATGATGCACATAACTCTAAATGTCATGTTTGTGTTTATAGCACTTCAACAAATTGAAAATAGCTGCAGAATGGGAATTTCTCTGGAATTTGATCTGAATGGCCTTCCAAACTCCTACCTAGTAGTTCTCTCAATAGGATGGACGGGCTGCAAAAGTATTATTGGCCACAACTTCAAAGGCAACTGTTTTGACAATAATGCCATCATGAGGAGTTGCTTCTCACATACACACATTCCAGCCCCTGCCCCCTTCCACACTTTGTTGTGCTGGTATGCCTGGCTATGTAGTAGTGCAATAAACTGATCAGGTTAAAAGTTACCATCATTGTTTCTTCACTTAGTTAGACTAGAGTAGTTCATTCGGAAGGGACCTTCAGAGATGATCTGGTCCAACTTCCTGACCACTTCAAGGCCAACCAAAAATGAAAACATTATTGAGGGCATTGTCTAAATGCTTCTTGAACACTGACAGGCATGGGGCATCAACCACCTCACCAGGAAGCCTGTTCCAGTGTTGGACCAGCACCCTCACGGTAAATAATTTTTTCCTAATGTCCAGTCTCAGCCTCCTGTGGCACAGCTCTGTGCTATTCCCTCATGTCCTGTCATCGGTCACCAGGAAGCAAAGACTGACACCTCCCTCTCCATTCCCCTGCTCAGGAATTTGTAGCATAACGAGGTGATCTCTCAGCCTTCTTTTCTCCAGACTAGACAACCAGGCATCTTCGGCCTCTCCTCATAGAGCATGCCCTCCAGCCCTTTTACCAGCTTTGATGCCCTCCTCTGGATGCTTTCAAGGACCTTAACATCTTGTTTCTACTGTGGAGACCTGAACTGTACACAATATTCAAGCTGAGGTTGCACCAAGGCTAAACATAGTGGGAGAATCACCAGAATTGGCTGGCTATGCTGTGTTTAATGCACCCCAAAGTGCAGTTTGCCCTCTTGGCTGCCAGGGCACACTGATGATTCATGTCGAGCTTGTTGTTGACCGGCACCCCAGATCCTTTCTTGTCTCCCAGCTGTTACTTTTAGCAGCGAGAAATTCTCTTATCTATTGGGTGGTTACACAGAAATGTGAGCTATCTTAGCTATGTGGAGAATAAGCCATAGGAAAAAGAGAGGACTGCACCAGAAGCAAGGGCAGTGAGTACTTATGGATGGCACTGCCACTGTAGCGTTTTGTGACATTGCCTCTTAACTTTATGCAGCATGTCAGTTACAGTAGCCTACAGAATATGTGGACTTTGGATGGTAACCAGCTGGAAAGGTGGCCTTCCTAATTCAAAATCTACTTAAAAAATAGGTTTGTTTGTTGACTAAATGATTTTATATGTACTTTTGTCTTAATATTGTTATGTTGGAGGGAAAATAGAGACTGTAATTTAAAAACGTGTGATCTGTTATCATAGTAATATATATATTTATATATGTATAGGAAATGTATTATTTAATACAGCATATTATGCTTGTATCTTGCTAACATTTCATAGGAAGAAAATATGTTAGATTACATTCTGAGAAAAAATAAATATTCTATACATTGTAACCACAGTAAAATTTGAAGATAATTTATTGATATGTGTGACTGAAAAGCACTGAGAACAGAGTAACGCAGACTCTCAATTTTGTTGCAGAATAGGTGCTGATGAAACAATTGCTTAAGATGCTCTGTCTTCCTTTGAATCTCATGCCTAGATTGTAAGTGTATTTGGCCATTCATCAGATTCTGAAAATCCATCTGCATGTATTTTCAGGACCATTTTAACATCCAACACCTTCATCTGCTTTTTCAATCAAGCATTAACAACATCATCTTATTTAAGACATGTTTTTGACAGTTTTTCTATAGCCAGTACAGTTTTGAGGAGTTTTAAAAACACTGCTCATCCAGACAACCCAACAGTATTGCAGAATTATGGTCTCTGTATTCCAAGCTCCCCTGGCAATACTATAAATATGAGATTTTTTACTGATAGCCCTGGAAAATGAATCTACTTTCTGTATGAGTATAGGTGAACACATCAGCAGGCAATTGGCCTGCCACTAAATGAGCAGGACTATTCCAGTTCAATCTTCTGCTTAATAACCTTTCTCAGGCAGTGGAAAAGACTGCCAAATATTTTCTAGTGCACTACTTTGCCTAATGGAAAGGTCTACTACAAAAACATAACTCCTGACAAAGACTTGCTCAACTATTACGTAATAGCCTGCAAATAAGTGTTTCACAATCCTCTAAAGAAATACAATTCAGTGATAGTTCCACCTGAAAATTATTCTAGACATTTTTGAACAAAGTTATCATTCTACTACCTTGAGATCTTGAGAGTGAAAAATATAATTGCCTTCAGATTGTGTCGTTTTTCTATAGCAATATCCCCACAACACATACATTTAATGCAACTCATTGTTTCACATCTTTATTGAGCACTTGTGCTTTGGGATAAAATTAGGCATTCTGAATCTCAGTCTCAAGACAATTTACTGTAAATCCAAAGGATATCACATGAACCAAATAAGACTGTCAAGAAAACAGATCAAACTTGAAATTACTCACCACTGAAATATGTGTTGTGCCTATGTGTGGTCATCTTGTGTTCAGCAAATGGCTGTAATTAACAATTATAAAAAATTAAACACAGTGAATTTCTGCATGAGTTATTAGCATTACTATAGTGTAGAAGAGAGTTGCGTAGCAGAGGCAGAAGCACTGTAGTTTACCAGTGGCTTGTTTGCTGTGGGGATTTGTAAGCTGAAAATGAAGAGGATGATTATATAAGGAAAATATTTTATTGCTTTGAAAAGCTATTTCTGATGTAACAGCATATTGAAGTTTTCAGATGATATGTTTTCAAACTGTTAGAATTTATTAAAATAATTATTTCAGGGTTTTCTCTACAAATTGTAACATCATCATGTTGCTAGCTAAAGGTAATGCTGCTTTCATTTTCTTGCAAAATTACTTTATTCTTTCAGTAATTTGTCCTTCTGACCAAAATAATGCTACATTTGCTCACACGAAGCTTCAGCTTCATTTATGTAAATGTCTAAATACCAGTGTCAGGTACCAAAATCATCTCTAGCTTCACCTTTTCATGTCAGGACTCAAACTCTTACTTTTGTTTCGAAACACTACTGTCATACAGGCATTGGCCTCTTCTTATATAGAGGATATTGTTCTGCTCTCCTTTCTTGGCATTAGGGTTCAGATGCCTCCTAAATCTGTTTATTCTGGGAACTGTTGCCTTTTTTTTTTTTTTTTTTTTTTTTTTTTTTAAACAGCAGTTTCATTCCCCAAGAGGGAAATGCATTCTTTACTTTGAAAGAAACACTTTTTTACTAAGTAAGTTGTGGAAGCACAGAACCTCTATATCTAGATAAGGTCCACATAAGATATCTGATTTCAGGTATACTGTTGTCTCCCTGAACAAAGACTTAGGGCAGGCTGGCTCCAGTTGTATGAACACAGATATATTTAAAAGATACTCTTAACACAAGGATCATAAAGAGCTTGTAGGCATAGAGAACACCAATAAATGCTGAGCACTGTGTTGTGAATGCACTACTGTGCAAAATATAACCACCTGTCTTAGGATGACAGATGTACCCCATATTGCTAAAGCAAACATGAGATAATATTACAGAAACACCACAGCAATGAAAATAACTTCCCCTTTCAAATATATTTTTATAGCAACTATTTAGTCATTAAGAAAAAGTCACAACTAAGAAGAGACAGACTACCCCCCCCCCAAAAAAAAAAAAAAAGTGCCACATTCAAGTTAAGCAAAAAAGAGGCATTTACTTTGAGAAGTGAACATGACTTGCCAGTGCTGCTTAGTTCCCTCTTGCCTGTTGCTGTTCCATTATTCTGCCCATCATCTCACACAGACCAGGCTTTCCCATAGTACCTAAAATAAGGATGCTAATTGATCCTCATGATAGAAGGATTCACAGCACATCAGACATGGTGTTTTCCCATATAATACAGATGGTTGGAGAGAATGCTCTCTTCTTGGGTGAATTCTGAGGTGAATGAATTACAGTGCACTTGAACAGACTTAGATGAAAGGTGGGGAATAGTCCAGGGAATTACCAGGTGAACATCTTTGTGAGATGGAAGAAACTGAAGAAGGAGATTGGAAGGGATTTTTGTGTGCGTGTATTACAGTATCGGAAATAAATAACATATAGAGGCAAATGATTTCAACAGTAGCATATATACATACATCACATATACATGTACGCACATGGAGATTGCTGTCCTCTAGCTGTTACATACCTGAAAGCCACTCTCTTCTAATGTCTTTGGTCAAATTATGCCCTCTGCCGACAAAATGACTGATTTCAATTTCAGAGAAGCCTGTGATTTCATGATCCAGGGTATGGGCTTGGATCTAGCTTGACTATTCAACATCATTTATCTACTTGCATCCATCTGCATCATGCTGGCTCAGGTCCTAAAACAGTTCTAGTTCAGGACAAAAGATTATTTTTACCTGAAATTAAACCAGAAATAAGTTCCTTTGCTATAAGGAACATGCAGGCTCCAAACATAAATGAGGAAGCCTTCCAAAAGGTGACACTCTATTGTGATTCAAGGCTTCAGTGGCTTTTATGACCCCCCCAAAGAGCCTCCATACAATACAGAGTCCTAAGTGATACCTTTTTAGTTAAAACTACCACCTTGCAGTCTGAACTTCATTGTGTTTCCTACTGTTTCCTTCCCATGTCAGAGCTCTTAACCCCATCTTTTCCACAGCATACTCTGGTGTGCTAACTTCCCAAACATTCTCCTTTCCTTCTGTGTCCTATACTTTCTTCCCCTTCCTTCCTGTGTAGTCTGTTTTCCTGCAATGAAAATGTCTAGCTTCCCCCTCCTCAACAGCAAGATCAACCACGTGTGAGCAGAGACCTTAAAGTGACAGGAAGCCTCATGCAACACTGATAATGGGTGAGACTACCTGGGGACAGTACCAGGAAGGAGATCAAATTGTCAAGTAATAACCTCATAATAAGCATAAAACCATACAGATAAATAGATCTGCTGGATATTTAAGTGTGGCACTTACCTGGAAATTTAATGGCCCTGAGACAGAACATTGCGTGTTGCTTCCAAAAAATCCCACTTACAAATTTTTTGTGATCATTTTTGTTAGGATCTGTACGTGTATGCATATATGTGTTTACCTATTATTAAAAACAAAACAAGACCCCAAAACAAACAAACAAAGAAACCCTGCTGCTGAAAACAGTCCACATAGGACTGTACTTTGAGAAGCACAGCTGTGTCCTTTCACCACAAACAAGAAGGACAACTTCCACACATGTATGCAATAAAACTGTATTTTTGTGTGTTTTTGATTTTTTTTTTTTTAATACAGACATTTGTACACTTTCTTACAAAACTGCAGCTAACTACAACTTTTCTTAAATCATTTTTGGTCGGCAAGTACTGTAAAATCTTTTTGTGCAATTATCATGTATTTACAGGGCCTCATGTTAGTGATTTTCAATGATTATTACAATAATGTCACACACTCTCAACATAAAACATGGCTTAAGATAAATATATTAGTAAATAAATATTCTGAGAACATATTTCCATAAATGAAATGTGCTGCTATACATATACAGAATATATACATGATGTTTTCTAGCTTTTAAAACATTTTAAAAATGGTAATGAAGGAGAAAGAGCCCTTTAACCATATTACAAATCTTTACAGCAAATTTTATACAAAACAATTTTAAGTGCTATAAGATAACTTTTAAAACATTTTAAATAGTGCCTCATGAGCCAAACACAATGACAACTTTTCATGTAAGTAGTAGAAAGGCATTTTGTTATAAAAAACATCTATCATGGCCAGCTGGCCTATAGATTGTATAGACACATACAGGTAGCAGGGAATTAACTAAATGTTGAATATAAAACCAAACACGGAAACCAAGTGTAGGGTACATCTGTATGGTAAGGCCTGCAGAGACTGTTGTACTGGCAAAGATTTCCACAACATGTGAATGAGACCAGTACATCCAGGAACACCATGAGCCAGAACATTCAAATACCTTTTTTTATAACCACATTTTACCACAACATGCTGTGCAGTTACAGAGTACAATGCATTGTAGGTGGCCTTAGATAATGCCGCACAAAACACCAAGCAAAATAACCCAGGCAGTACACCATAACTTGTAAAATGCTTTTCTTTTGAGTGGAGGAAGGAGAAAGGTAAGACTTTAAAAAAAAAATTTAGAGTTTATTCTCCCAACACGTACCACTTAGTACAGTCATTCAGAGAATGAATAAGTTTTCTATAAACTTCACACATAGAAAATGTGTTTATTTTAATTATTATTTCAATTTTATACCCAGATATTGTCTTGTATCAATTCTCTGAATATCTGGATTTGGTTGTTCATTTAGAGAGATCTAATGTGAACTCCTTTCAAACAGAGTTGTTTTTTTCCTAATTTATTTAGTACAAAAAGTAAAAGTAAACAAACTTATTTGTTGTTTGTTGGTTATTTGCTTCTTTTAAAATATTTGGGATTATAAAGAAAACAAGTTAACTTTTATGGTTTTCACAATTAGCCCAGTGCTGTCAAGGACATTTTGTTTGAAAATGTAACATGAACTTTTTTTCATGTCTTTTAAATATCTCCCATGTGTACTGAACTTTAATCAATTTTTTTTTTTTTTTTGGAAGACTGGCAATGTGGGCATTAACTAAGCAGTTTCCCTTTAGGAGAATTCCTGCTGAGAATACACCAGACACTGTGTCCTCAGGCACATGCAGCATGACAGGCAATTTAAACCATGCTATGGTAGCCTCTTACTCAGAAGCCGCTGTTTCCACAGGAAACAATTGCTATCAGAAGTGATGACGTACATTATCTCATGATAACAAACGTCCCCACTAGTACAAGAACAAAAGGATGCGCCCAGGCTAATGGAGTACAGAGAACACTCTGTACACAAGACAAAAATGAAACACAACTAACTGGGCCCAAGAAACCTTTAAAACAAATCAATCTATGGAAGCTACATCAACCACAGCAAAGAAGGAAACAATGACTAAAACAAGTTCTCATTTTCCCACGTGCACAACAGGTGACAAGCACTGCTTCCCTTAGGCATGCTTGCAGGCTATAAGGAAACAAGGCATCAGACCTATTCCCAAAATGAGCCAGGCAAGCTATAAGCCCCTCTGCAAACTCTGTTTTCCTGCATATGCCAGCATTGGAGAGGGGCAACAAGTGCCCAAAAAACTTCCTATGGAAGGCAAGATTCATCATCTACAAAGGTTTCACCCTTTCTAAGCACTTTCTTCTACCATCTGTTTGAGGGAAGGGCCCACAACATTCTTCACCAGTCAGAAGATACAATGAGGTCTATGTTTTAGCAGGAAGTGGGAATGAGAATATTCTGAGCTACCTGTTTCCCTACCCCCAATCTGTTAAAACTAATCACAATGGCAGGAAACCCTTCCTAGCCAAATCATCAGAGCAGCATGAAAGGGGGGTTGGGGAGAGGAAGAAGGAAACAGTCCAATCCTTCACCTCCCTCAAAATCACTTGTATAACTTGTTGGCTACTAGGATTTGCTACTAAATTAGTTGGTATCTGAACATCCATTCAGCAGCTGTAT